CTGTCGATTACCTCCCAAATCCGCCCCAAAAATCCACTTGCTCCTTTGGATATTTGCCCAAACACCCACAAATTAAAGCTTGTAATAATCTATTGATTGGAAGGGAAGGGGAGGGAATCTGTCTTGCAGTCACTTCCAAAAGCTTCTAACAAATGTCTCCACACACACCCTTCCTCACCCTGTGTGCATGAGAACAAAACATTGTAGGTGGCATAGAGAAGCAATGAGAAACATTGAGCAGCTGGAGACTGATACCCAGGGAGTCCAGCTTGAGTTAATGGGAGGACCGCTCTCCCCCCGCCCCCCGCAGGGGCCGGCAGCTGTGAAGGGACTTGGTGCTGGCAAAGAGGTGGCTTTTCAAGCAATGCTGACAGCTGTGGAAAGTGGCTGGAGTTGTTTTATTCCTACCAGAGGGATGGAGATAAATTGTCTGCTGCACTGGGGTGGGGGGAAATGGGTGAATTTTGTTTTCTTTCAGATTCTCATTTTTCTCAGTCTTAAATTCAGTTCCGCACAATTCCAAATCACTTGGTGATTTATTTATTTTTTTAAAGTCCTTGTGAAAATTCACCAGTATTTCAGGGCAAATTTCACCAAATAAGATACATTTCCCTGAATATAATGTCCATTTGTATGTCATTTTCATGGATATATGCAATAATAATAATAATATTAATAATAATTTATTTATTTATTTATACATACATACATACATACACCGCCCATCTGGCTGGGTTTCCCCAACCACTCTGGGCAGCTCCCAACAGAATATTAAAAACATGATAAAACATCAAACATTAAAAACTTCCCTAAACAGGCCTGCCTTCAGATGTCTTCTAAATGTCAGATAGTTGTTTACTATTTCCTTGACATCTGGTGGGAGGGCGTTCCACAGGGTGGGCACCACTACTGAGAAGGCCTTCTGCCTGGTTCCCTGTAACCTCACTTCTCACAGTGAGGGAACCGCCAGAAGGCCCTCGGCGATGGATCTCAGTGTTTGGGCTGAATGATGGGAGTGGAGACGCTCCTCCTATACTGGGCCGAGGCCGTTTAGGGCTTTTAAGGTCAGCACTAGCACTCTGAATTGTGCTCAGAAGCATACTGGGAGCCAATGTACGTCTTTATGCACACTCTACCTTTATGTACACTCTATGTTTTTCTGGACACATTACTTGGCTGAAGAACTGCACGGCAGAATTTGGAGAACTGTTACTTTCAAGAACGGGCTGTATTTTTTTTGGTTTGCATATTGTTTTGGTTCAGGTGAAGATAAAGGAGGCTGGTTTTTCTATGTGAATCAAAGTTCTCCTTAAGAGCAAGTGGTGTGTTTGTGGAGGGAGTGGGGGAGGAAGGGAATGAGAGCGCCAAGTTAAACTGTGGAACTCTCTCCCTCAGGATGCAGTCATGGCCCCCAGCCTGGAGGCCTTAAAATAGGATTAGACAAATTCATGGAGAAGAAAACTGTTGATGGCTATGAGGCATTATGGCTTGGCTTGGCTGTTTCTATGGATGGAGGAATGCTACTGAATACCTGTTGCTGAAGGGGAGAGTGCTTGGGTCTTGTTTGCAGGTTTCCCACAGGCAGTCTGGTTGGCCACTGTAAGAACAGGATGCTGGACTAGATGGGTCATTGGCCTCCTCTTACATCCTTTTAGAGGTGCAGAAACTAGTTTGCCTTGAACAGCACATCCTGTACTCTTGGGGAGGTTCTCTCATGCCCCGACAGTTCTGTAACTCTGGGCTGGTGGGATGCCAAAGTATCTCCTTTGGTTGTGCTCCACTGCTTCAAGCTATGGCTCATTTTCTCATTGGGGAAGAGAAAAGTGTGTGTGTGTGCAGACACTGTAGAATCATAGAATCATAGAATCATAGAATCATAGAGTTGGAAGAGACCACAAGGGCCATCGAGTCCAACCCCCTGCCAAGCAGGAAACACCATCAGAGCACTCCTGACATATGGTTGTCAAGCCTCTGCTTAAAGACCTCCAAAGAAGGAGACTCCACCACACTCCTTGGCAGCAAATTCCACTGTCGAACAGCTCTTACTGTCAGGAAGTTCTTCCTAATGTTTAGGTGGAATCTTCTTTCTTGTAGTTTGGATCCATTGCTCCGTGTCCGCTTCTCTGGAGCAGCAGAAAACAACCTTTCTCCCTCCTCTATGTGACATCCTTTTATATATTTGAACATGGCTATCATATCACCCCTTAACCTCCTCTTCTCCAGGCATTAGAAAAAGAGTAGTCATTAGAAAAAGAGTGAAGAACACTGGGGGAGTTCTGAGGCTTTCAGAATACAAATAAATAAATAAATAAAATATAAAAGAAAATGACTAAGGGGGGGAATTGTGTCCAAAACAGCCCAATGAGGACTGAGGGGGCAGCTAACACCCGATAAATATGGACTTTTAAACAGGCCTAACATTGTCTGGTATTTTGTCATAGACATCCAATTGAAAAATAAATCTAAAACCAAATGGGCTACCCAATTATTTTTTTAATGATCATCTCAAACGAGATAAGATGTAACTTTTAAAATTTTCCTAATGAGGCTGGTAAGCCAGATATCGAATCTGCAATTAGATGTGTAATTTTATTTTCAGGAGCAAATCTCTGCTTTATATGTAGCATTTCTCTTATAATAGATATCTAACTAGCTCTTGTTCGCTTCCTTCTTGTGCTAGTATTTAACGTACTGAGCAAAATATTGTATTTCTCCATCCAACCATGGGCAATGTTGTTAAGCTAATAGCAGGGGTTAAACATTTTGCCTGGAGGTAAGTCGAAAACAAATTAAGTCTAGCTGCATACATTTTAAGCTGGAGTTGATTACTACCCCGCTTTCTGTCTGAGGTACATCAGGATTAGCTTCCTTGAGGCCAGGAATTTACTTCCTTCTCCAGTCTGCTGGGTTCCAAAAATTAGCTGGGTGCAAGCAGTGACTTGGAGCCTGATCTTCATTGTCAGGAGAATCAAGTAGATCAGTTCTTGCTGGACTGCTTTAGATCATGGCACAATCTTTTACCCATGGTTAATAGATTTTGAGTGGGCTGTGCTCTCTCATTTTCTGCAGCAGTAAGGTTTTCACTCTGTAACCTTTTAAGCCTTAGAGTTCAGGACTGTATCTTCTCAGTACTACTCATCATTACCATGTCAACTTGTGTTGAAACGTCTTTTCCATTTTTTATTAAGGGGGGCTGCGATGGGCAGATGTGGCTCTGTCTGCATTTGGCCATCACACTAAACCATGGTTTAGTGTTACAGGGGAAAAAACCATACATCCTCTCAGGTTTGCACATTCCTCCCTCTCTTCTCTTCTGGAGCAGTTGCAAATAGGAAATTGAAAGCCTCCTCTTCCATTTTAGAGCAACCATAGCTTAGTACATTGTCTGTTCTCTAAACTGTGTTTAATCTTAACTGTGGTTAGAGAAAACAAGTCAGGTTCATAACCCATGTTTTGAAATTGGCTTGTTTCTGCTAGCCACTAGTTAGCTACACTTCACCCTGGTTGACACAATATGGCAAGCTGCAGTTAATCAAAAACAACAGCAAAAGCTTCCAAACTTCTCCTTGTGCTTTTGCTGAAGAAGGGAGGGGCACACGGGTCCAAGGCTTGCTGTAAGTACAGTGGTACCTCGGGTTAAGAACTTAATTAGTTCCGGAGGTCCGTTCTTAACCTGAAACTGTTCTTAACCTGAGGTACCACTTTAGCTAATGGGGCCTCCCACTGCCGCTGCGCGATTTCTGTTCTCATCCTGAAGCAAAGTTCTTAACCCGAGGTACTATTTCTGGGTTAGCGGAGTCTGTGACCTGAAGTGTCTATAACCCGAGGTACCACTGTAGTTCTTCTTATAAACCACAGAGCTTAGCACATAGTTCATCAACCTTTTCTTTTTGGCCTGTGGGCACATTTGCAAACCATAGAAACTGTTGCAGGCTCCCACCCCCACAACCAAGCATTCACCACAACCAGTAGCCACACTATTGGGTACACTGGAATGCTTCTTTCAAGTTTGCTTCAGCAGCTGGGTGCATATGCCTAAATACCTTTGTGCCCGTGGGCTCTGTGTTAGTGACCCCTGGCTTAGCATTGCCATCATACCATCCTTAACCTGGGTTAAGACCAACAAGGGAAGAGAGGGGAAGTTTAATTGTACAATTTCAGCACTGTACATAACATATATTATACATATGGATTCCCGACATCTAACCCTATACCCTATTGTACGGTAACTAATGTGTAATATGAATTTAATAAAACAGAGAGAGAGAGAGAGAGGGAGTTTGCTCTAGAAAGTGGCAAGGAGTACATAGATCGCTCTTGTTCTCTTAACTATAGTTAAGCCAGAAAACAAGCACCTTGCGAAGAAGAGCTCGCACCCAGCTGTTTTCCTGCAGGCTTTGTGTTGTGTGAGCAGGGAATCTTTTTATGATGGAATTCAAACACAGGTGATACCCCAGTCTGAACTGCTACTGTCCAGCAAGGCATTGTCATGCAGCACAGCCAGTGTTAGAAACTGATATATGAAAGATAGGAGCTAAATGGCACCCTAAGCCTAGCTTATGGGCGCAACAAAGGAATGTCTAGGCACACTTTTTTATATATGTAACAAGAATATAAAGCTGAAAATGGATGAACTGCACCTCAAATATTATGTTCATTTCTCACATGGTCTAGTCCTTCCCCTGCCCACCCCCTAATAATCTTAAGAAGGTCTCTTCTCTAGTCTTCAGAGATTAGCTGAAAGTGGGGAGGCAGAAAAAGGTCCTTCTTTCCTTCCACTCTGCAGTTTTAATCTGAAAATTTAGGCCCAGTACTGCGCCCAGAGCTCAGAAACTGCTTGTGCTAATGAAATTCCCTGTCGCAAAATGCGCCTAGAACAATGGGAGTTTCGAACACTGAGTACATCTCTCAGCATCGAATAATAGAATCATTGTATTTTAGAGTTGAAAGGGACCCTGAGGGTCATCTAGTTCACCCCCTGCAATGCAGGAATATCTAGGTGGCCTGTATGGGGATTCAACCTGCGACCTTGGCGTTATTAGCACCATGCCCTAACCAACTGAGCTAACAGGGTGCAAGCAGATGATGCCTGTCAGTGGTGCAGATGTAGCAGTGTGTCGAGTGCACACTGTGTCGAGTGCATGTGTCAAGTGCGTTCATAATCATTCATAATCATGAATGTTTGGGATCCAGAGGACCATACAGCTAGTTCTCTGTAACACCCCCAAGGGGCTTTTGTTGTGCATTCTCCTTTCCTTACCCCACTGCATGCTACATAGCTAAGCACTTTTGAAATCCAAAGCACTTTAAAAAAATGACATGGGGTTTTGCTTTTCAAAGGGGGGGGGGAACTTTACACACAATGGTCCAAGCTCTTGGGTAGAATTTAAGTAGCTTTTTGGACCCTCTCCAATGTTCTGAAATTCAGGCCGGCATCCAATTCTTGGGGGTATGTGTCTTTGAACATGTTTTGTTTCTAAGTAAAAAACGCCTACAGTTAAGGTGTGGGTATACAGGGGCTCAGTTGGGTCAGATCAAGGGCCCATCTGGCCCAATCTCTTGTTTCAAACAGCGGCCAGCTAGATGGAGAGTTCAAAAGTGCTGTCTGCCCCTGGTTGGCACCCATCTGTCTCGGGAGACAATGGAGGTGAGGTCAAGCTGTTAGAAGGTTACAGTGTCTGTTGTGGCTGTAGAGACTGATATGGGAGAGAGATGGTTTGCTGCAGCTGGGGCAGATGAAGGCATCCAGTTGTGCTGCTGCAGGGGTCATTCCTCCTCTGGTCATTGCTGTGGATACACAACCTGACTGTCCATCTTCAGGCACTGCGGTCATCTGCAAGGGATGTTCACAAAGAGCTTTCGTGTCATGTTTGCAGACATCTTTGTAGCACAGAGTTGGTTCGCCAATGGGCCTGGTGCCTGAAGCCAGCTCCCCATAGAGCATGTCTACCAGCCCCTAGTCCTGCAGATAGTGTTGTGTTTGCATATCTTCTGAGTAAAAAAAATTAAAAATCTGAGTCCCTGATCTATCCTAGTTTTGCAGCAGAAGGGACAACTTCAGAAGTTTTTAATATTTGTGTAAGATGCTTGGAGTTAGCTTCTGAAGGAGAATCTCATTTGCACACATTCTGTTCTAGGCGATGGAGCTGCATGCCATTTTGAACAATAAAATGTTTGTTTTCCATTGTCTGCTGAGCCAATTGTGTGTGGGCTTCAGAGGCTGGACTTTAGGGCTGCTGAGGAGGCAGCCATAAAAAACTTTTCTGAGAAGTTTGATGAGCTTGCAGGAAATGAATCTGAGTGACAGTATGTTGAAGTGTATGTTTTTAATGTATTTAAAAAAATATCCTTAAAAATATCTATGTATATAATGAATCTCTTGGAGATATAAAATGTAACTTCACCACATCCCTAGCCCAACCTATTGTTGCCGTTCCCACCCATCCAACAAGTGCCATAGCTCAGAATATAGGAATATTGAAAGCTGCCTATGAATCAAACCACTGGTCCATCTAGTTCAGTATTGCCTACTCGGACTGGCAGTGTACCTCCAGGATTTCAGACAAGGAACATGCCCAATCCTACATGGAGATCCATGGAATTGAACTTGGGAACTGTATTGTACCAAAGTGTAGTTGAGCAGTTAAAAATGGGTTGGTCAACTATTGTCAAGTAAAGGTCAAGTGCTAAAGATGACTTTTATTAAAACAATAAAAAGATACAGTCGTACCTTGGTTATCGAACAGAATGCATTCCGTGAGTCTGTTCAACTCCTGGAACTGTTTGATAACCAAGGCGTGGCCTCCAATTGGCTGCAGAAGCTGTGCCAGAGGTTTGGCTTCTGGAAATCGTTTGAAAACCAGAACACTCACTTCCGGGTTTCGATCGTTCAGGAGCCAATTTGTTTGGGAGCCAAGGTGTTTGAGATCCAAGGTACAGCTGTACTTTATTCATCAACAGGTTGATACTTACAAAACAACAACAACACCAAGTCAATGTATTCTTACTGTGGAACAAATTATGGGAAGGGCCTTAGCTTAATGGCACCTTATTTGCATGCAGAAGGTCCCATTTCAATCTCTGGCATCTCTAGGTAGAGTTGGGAAAGATACCTGCCTAAATTCTAGAGAGCTGCTATCAGTGGTTCTCAAACTTTTTTCTGTGGGCCATACTTTCAGAAGAAAAATTTACTTGCACCATACTGATTTTTTTTATTGATAAGAAATACATAGGAAAACAAGAGGAAACGACTCCTAGCAGTTCTTGAGCTGTAACATAGAACACCACTACTTTGTAATATGATCATGGGACGTCCAGAAAGTATGAAAGAATGCAGCTACATAAGAACAGGAATCTTTCCCAAAATACAATGATAAATGAGCCTCTTACACATGCACCTTTAGTATGTATACAAACTCCATGAGAGGTAGGAGCTTGCTTTTGCCGGGTAATCTCGTTTATATTAGGTCTAATTTGAGACAGGCAAACACTAGTCTCCCCATCGACTCAAAGAAGTCTTTCCCTTTTCTGATCTTTCATATTTGTAAGAGAACTGTTGGCTTAGACAATACTGAACTAGATGAGCTTCTGGTTTGATATGGTATAATGTGATAACATTAGGCAAGTTTTCCGTCAGTGAGTGATGTTTCCCATGAATGTGGATGTGTGCTTTGCTTTGCTTTTGGTATTGGTCGCTGAAAACCTGGATCAAGCCCTCAGAGTAGGTGGAATGTTGCAGGAGTGAGGATACTTTGTGGGGATTAAATGTTGCATTGAAATGAATTCAAAGCTTTACTAGGGAATTGTTTTTATTTGAAGGCTTGCAAATGTTTTAAGATGTGGCAACTCAGTAGCATACACTTCTCCTTTACTTGTATTTATATTTTAAGGGGAAAAACTGAAGAAGACCGTGAAAATGGTTAATGTGCTAATTTTAGCATGCCTGGAGAAATGTGCTCATAAATATATGGACTTCTTAGGGATGCTTCCCTGAAAGGAGTTAATTACAGCTAAGATTTAATTGGCACTGTATCCCTTCCGATTTCTTAATTGGATTTGTATTGTGTTGATTCATTATTATTATTATTATTATTATTATGGTGATGGTGATTGTTATTATTGAACAATGCATTTTTTACCATGGAAAATTGTCTGCCAAAGAAATAAAGCATTGGAAATATTTTTTTCTGTGTCACCTCACCGGTTGGGTGAGAACTAATCTAGACCCCATGCATTTTAGGGGCCCTTTCGACAAAGAATCAAAACAATATTGATTTGATCCTGAAAGAAAATTACAATCAAGCTTTCTTAGTTTAGTGTTATCCGCCCAGAGGATGCGCATGAGGGAAGCCTCAGGATTTCGACTGCCTAGGGGCCTCCACAGGGTTTGGTCTGGCACTAAGAGCAAGGGATTCAAATGGTGTCCTCCCCTCAGTTCCAGCCAGCATGTCCAATGGCCATAGTCTATCTAAAACTTCATTATACCCCTCTAGGCACCAGTGAGAGGGATGTGAGTGGTGCTGTGGGTTAAACCACAGAGCCTAGGACTTGCCGATCAGAAGGTTGGCGGTTCGAATCCCCGCAATGGGGTGAGTTCCCGTTGCTCGGTCCCTGCTCCTGCCAACCTAGCAGTTCGAAAGCACGTCAAAGTGCAAGTAGATAAATAGGTACCGCTCCAGTGGGAAGGTTAACGGCGTTTCCGTGTGCTGCTCTGGTTTGCCAGAAGCGGCTTAGTCATGCTGGCCACATGACCCGGAAGCTGTACGTCACCTCCCTCGGCCAATAAAGCGAGATGAGTGCCGCAACCCCAGAGTCGGTCACGACTGGACCTGATGGTCAGGGGTCCCTTTACCTTTACCTTTAGGCCCCAGTGAGAGAAATGTTTGCATTTTTTTCATGGACCTTGGTTGTTGGGGACAGGAGAGGATTTAGTGGAGGTTACTGGAGGGCAGAGGGCATGCAGGTTGTATTAGGTTGAAGAAATCCTGAGTTCAAGGAAGCACTGAGGCAAAGGAAGCAATCTGCTGCTAGTCCTCAGTGCTGGCTCTGCACCATTCTGACCTAGTGCAAACATGTATTAATTGTCTGCAAGAAAGCCCTGGTTGAGTTTCTGGGCTGAACTTCTTTGCACGGTTTGTAGAATAAAGCAAGCTTTTGTAGCCATTCAGGACGAGGAAGGGAAGCGGGGTTTGCAAGTTTCACTTCCTTTTTCTTTTTTAATGGAGAGACAGGCAGTGATTTAGTGAAACCCCCTTGAGAAGCCTCCCTCCACCAAGACTGTTGGTGGAGATTACACAGTGTGGCTGCTAATTACAGCTTATTTCACTATTCTGGTCAGACATAACCCTTTCAGTCTATCCGGAGTAAGCATTTTCAGCAGGGGGCTGGGGGTTCTTAAGTTTCTCTTCATGCATCTGGTGGAGCGGACTGTAAATCCACAAAAGCTTGTACCATACAAAATTTGTTGCTCTCTGGGTTTGCCACACAAGGCACTTGGTTGATTCGTACAGTGGTACCTTTGTTCTCGAACGACTTAGTTGTCGAACAAATTGGCTCCCGAACACCGCAAACCCGGAAGCAAGTGTTCCAGTTTGTGAACGTTTTTTGGAAGCTGAACGTCTGACGCGGCTTCCGCTTGAGTGCAGGAAGCTCCTGCAGCCAATCGGAAGCCGCGCCTTGGTTTTCGAATGGTTTCAGGAGTCGAATGGACTCCTTGAATGGATTAAGCTTGAGAACCAAGGTACCACTGTAGTCCTCTTTTGGTTAGAATCTTGCAGCTCGTGCTTCTTCACTTCATAGCTAGCAGGAGGAGCAAAAGAGGAAAGGCAGCATTTCAGCGGTAGAACATGCAGAAGGTTTCAGGTTCAATCCTCAGTATTTCCAGGTATGGAATGTCACATGTCTGAAATTCTGGAGAGGCACTGCCGGTCAGAGTAGACAATGCTGAAGTAGATGAAACAGTGTTCTGACTCAGTAGATGGCAGTTTCCTGTTCCTGAAAGCAGAACTCTCCATGAACCACCAGTTCTCGATCCTGACTGACTACAACAGGTTTCTGATTCCAGTTGTGCTGGCTACTTTTAAAAATTTGCTTACGTTGGTCAGACACAAAGAGGTTATTGCGGGACAATTTTGAGTGACAAGGGTGCAGATATTGTTTAATGCTTTGACCCACACAGACCCTCTGTGACAAAGACAGTTATCCATGTTCCACTTAATGCGCTTGAATTACTGTCATGTGTTGCATACAGGGGCTGCCCTTGAAGACAATTCAGAAACTGTAGTTGGTTCAGCATATGGCAGCAAGCCTTGACTGAATGGGAAATGTCATGCCAGCTTTGAGATAATGACACTGGGTTCTGGTCGATTTCTAAGTACAACTGGAATGCTGGAATGGGCTTTTAATGGCTCCCCCAGGTTTCCATACTGTCTGGTCAAACATTCCTTCGCTTACAGGGGGATATAATAATTTACTAATAAGTATGTTCCATTAAATGGAATGCTTACTCTTAGGTTAGATTACTGCAATGCATTATACATAGTGCTGTCTCTGAAGACGGTTCAGAAACTTCAGCTAGTGCAGAATTCAGCGGCCAGGTTGCTCACCAGAGTAAGACGGTTTGAGCATATTACACCGATCCTGGTCCGACAGCACTGGCTACCAATGAGTTTCTGGGCCCAATTCCAAGTGCTGGTTTTGATCTATAAAGCCTTAAGCGGCTCAGGACCGCAATACCTCAAGGACTGCCTCTCTCCATATGAATCTATCTGGACCCTGAGATCATCTTCTGAGGCCCTCTTTCGTATGCTTCTTCCTTGAGAGGTCCGGAGGGTGGCAACACGAGAATGGGCCTTCTCTACAGTGGCTCCCTGTCTATGGAATGCTCTCCCAGGGAAGTTTGCCCGGTGCCTTCATTATACACCTTTAGGTGCCAGGCAAAAACATTCCTTTTTAACCAGGCCTTTGGCTGACCTAATCAACATCCTATGTGGCTCTTTTTTTGGGGGGGGGGGAGTGTTATTGGATTATTGTTTTTATTTTTATTTAATATATTGTGACCTTTTTTGTGAACCGCCCTGAGACCTCTGGGTATAGGGTGGTATTTAAATGTAATAATAATAATAATAATAATAATAATAATTAATAATGGAATATAGGATTGCGACTTTAGGCTGTAATCCTGTATGCTTTGCTGAACTCAGGAGGCCTTAGTTTTGGGCAAACTTTCTTGGAGTTGCAATTTTAGTTTGGAAAAAAAAAATAGGGGAAATTTCCAACCTTAGTGATCCCAGAGCTTGCAGGCTTGACTATATAAGTCTCTTTGAACCTTGTGTAAAGTGAAGGTAGCAGTTTTTTCAGTTGTGAAACATATGAGTCACCCTCCTAACCCGAACCTTGAATTTCTTTTTCATCTTGTTACGATCTATTTGTTCAAAAAAATTTTACCCACCTTTTCAATAGCCTAAATTTCTGAGGGGGCTACAACTCAAATAATTACATTTTTTTTCTGCTACAAAACAATGATTCAATAACTGATCTGCAGAAAGGACTTTATCACCTGAAAATAGAGACAATGTACGTACGTTTGAAATGCAAGAAAACATTTAATAAAAACAATATTTTTTAAAAAGCAGTGGAACAGGTAAAATTACAGCCACTTCCATACTGTTGCAGGAGGGATTCTGTTGCAAACCAGCAAACTTAGGCTGTCACAATTAATTAATTGCTTCATTAGTTTAAGAGCATTTCTAAACCTCTTAATATATATTTTATAAAAAATTCTAAGTGAGATACACGATGTACACTATTAAAAACAATATCCATTAAACCCGAAATACAACCTAAAGCCAATAAAACTATATAAAAGCATATAAAGTAAAACAGAAATTCAGGGGATTCATACACCATAAATCATGGTCTAATCTCATGAATCAATGAAAGCCTGGGCAAAAAGATAAATCTTTACAAGACCTGTGAAGCCACTGGAGGTTGCTGCTTCACATATGGCTGAAGGAAGACCATTCTACAGAAAAAGAGCAAGAACAAAAAAGAAGAAGAAGAAGCCTGTTTTCAGGTCCACTGCCCTATGGGACCACTGCCCACTCTAGGGAGCGGTGCCCTGAGTAGAATTTCTGTATATGATCTAAATGATTGCATGGGCCTGTATGTGGGCAGGCAGCCTTTTAAGTTAGGTTAGACTGTGGGCTCTTGTGCATCAAAGTCATTTTATAAAAAGAAATGGACTTCTTGCAGTAAGGAAGTAACAGGGCAGGGGGCTAATGTGTGAGCTAATGTTTGATGGGCAGGAAGTTGTATGCAAGCAAATCAGGATAGATGCCCAATCAACAGGTCGTCTGAAAGTGATAGCACATTTTAAAAAGACCTGGGTTAAAAAAGAGGGTGGGGATTGCCTGGTGTCAAAACAATAATTAGATTTGGTTCATGCAGAGTATTTTTTTTTGATGGGGTAGAGAGTGTTACAGCTCAGTTGGTTGGAGCATGGTGCTGATAATGCCAAGGCTGCAGGTGCAATCCTGTGAGAAGCGAAGTTACAGGGAACCAGGCAGAAGGGCCTTCTCAGTAGTGGCGCCCGCCCAGTGGAACACCCTCTCATCAGATGTCAAAGAAATAAACAATTATTTGATGTTTAGAAGACATCTGTAGGCAGCCCTGTTTAGGGGAGTTTTGAATGACTGATGTTTTAATGTACTTTTAATCTTTTGTTGGAAGCTGCCCAGAGTGGCTGGGAAAACCCAGTCAGATGGGCGGGGTATAAATATATTATTACAGTGGAACCTCATGTTACGGACAAGATCCGTTGTGGAGGCTCGTCCGTAACACGGAACTGACGCAAGCTGAAGCACCATGTCTGCACACACACGCGGTGCGATTTAGTGCTTCTGCGCATGCGTGAGCGGTGAAACCTAGAAGTAACCCATTCTCGTACTTCTGGGTTGCCGCAGGACGCAACACAAAAATACGTAACCTGAAGCGGACACAACATGAGGTATGACTGCATTATTATTATTATTAATAATAATAATAATATTTCCCTGTAGATGATCCTCAAGGTCCCTTCTAACTCTAACCTTCTATGATCTTAATCACAGACCCTCCAAGTACCCCTATTTTCCAGGGGCATCCCTGATTTAGGGAAGTCATCCCAGTTTCTGATTTGATGCCCGGAATATCCTGCTTTTCCTTAGGATGCCCCTATTTTCATTGGAGAAACGTTGGCGGGTATGGAGTTATCCAACCCCTGAGCCGTCTGAAGGCAATCCTGTATATAGGGAAGTTTTTTAATTTTTAAAAAAATGTTTTATTATGTTTCTATATATTTTGGAAGCTGCCCAGAGAGCTGGGGCAACCCCAGTAAGATGTGTGGGGTATAAATAGTACGATTATCGTTATGGAATGGGATGTCTGTATTTTCATTGGAGAAATGTTGGAGGCTATGGAATCATCAGGGAGGTTTCTGGCCTTGAGTGCTTTTTGCAAGGCTGAAAGGTGTTCGTGAACTCTGATAATGCCACTCGCTTGTCTTTCTTGGTGGATAAAGAGGGGTGTGTGAGCATGTGTAGAAACGAGTATTGTATACAAAGGTTGTATAGTTGGGGAACTGTTTAGGGGTTTTTGTTGTGTTTGTCATAGTTTTTTGTACCTTTATTTTAGATCTTAAATATATGATCTATGTGGAAGTGGTTCAATATGGTTGTGTACTTTTTCTATTGATTGTTTACGACTACTTTTGTTATACAGTGGTACCTCGGGTTACATACGCTTCAGGTTACAGACTCCGCTAGCCCAGAAATTGTACCTCAGATTAAGAACTTTGCTTCAGGATGAGAACAGAAATCGTGCAGCGGTGGTGCGGCGGCAGCAGGATGCCCTATTAGCTAAAGTGGTACCTCAGGTTAAGAACAGTTTCAGGTTAAGAACGGACCTCCACAACCAATTAAGTTCTTAACCCAAGATACCACTGTATTTGCAATTGTGCAGTTTTTTCAAGTTGTGAGCCACCTTGAGCATGGTTTCAACTACGGAAAGGCAGCATGGCAATAAAATTATGCATGCATGCATATGTATATAAAATTTACATTTCTTGCTCCTCTCACTTTTGGCTCTGGACCTGCCCATCATTGTTGTGCGGCCCCTGAAATGTTGCTCAGAAGGGATTGTGACCCTTGGGAAGAAAATGGTTCCCCACCCCTCCTGATTTAAACCGGCAAAATCTTGGGGGAGTTGCAGCCTTTCCCACCAGGAAACAAAGTGAAAAATGGTCCATTTAAAAAAATGCTTATGGAAGCATAAGCCTGGCATCGCATACTGACGATTAAATGGCCCATTTTTAAACAAAGAGGGAGATGAGAATGTCTCCTGCCACTCCCCCCTTTCAATAAACAATAAAAAATATGCACACACACACACCAGACATTTTAAAGCATCTGGGAACATGGTGCTGCTTTCAAATGCTGGCAATTAAATCTGGATCCAAACAAACAAGAGATGCTGAATGCCTCTCTCCCTTGGCACTCTCTTTCTCCTAAAGAAAAAATATTAAGGACCGAAATGGTTTCTGGTAACATGATGGCAAAGGATCATAGATATTTATTTTAAAAATTACGTTGCCAGCAGTATCTCCTACGCACATCTGCGTTCCATGTAGCCTACTAGAAACATGATTCTGGCACCTTCTCCTTCCCCCACCCCTGAAAGAGGGTGACATTGAATTGCAAATGACTTCTTGACAGGCTTTGCTCTCCTTTTGCTCCACATCGGAAGGAATTTAGAGCATTGGGCAACACAGATCACACCCTTTGGTGAAGCTAAGCAGGTCTTGGCAGTGCCAGAATGAGTGGCTGCAGGAAATGACCTGTGTTCAGTGATGGGGAGAGGGGAGGGAGATGCATGTAAGAAAAAAACTGAATAAATATTCCATACCTGGTTGGCGCTGAGCCGTGGCAAGGCCTTTCTAGTGGTGGCTCCCCAGTTATGGAATGCCCTCCCTGGTGAGGTGCACCCGTTTCCATCATTATTAACTTTCAGGAAGAATGTGAAAACATTCCTGTTTGCGTTGAGTGGCTGAAAAATACTGTTCCTGGCAACCCTGCCATCAATGGATGGAAGAATGTTTCTCACTGCAGCTGCTTTTAGATGTTTCCAATCACAATTCTTTTTGGAATGTTTCAACTGCTTTAGAAAGTTTTTCCTTCATTTTAAAATTCTGCCTGCTGCCTGGGGCTCCTTTGATAGGAAGGGTGGGATATAAATCAGGTTAATCATCATCATCATCATCATCATCATCATCATCATCATAAAATTTACTGTGTCAGAACACTGGTGCATTTAGCTCTGTGCTGCTGATGCTGACATCCAGCGTCTTTCCAGGTCTGAGACAGAGATTTCCCCCCAGCCATCTCTGCAGATCGACCTGGAACCTTTGCATGCCAAGCACATGTCATATCCAAGAAGCTTTCCTCCCTCCCATTGGCTCAGAATCTCTTGACACCTTTTCCAAACAGGGAAGGAGAGGCCACTGGAGGACGGATGCCAAGTGTGTTGCTCCATTATGGATGGGACAGTTCCTGCCTAGCGCTGAGCATGTTGATATTTCTGTTTTGTCTGGCTGCCAGTGCCGCGCGAGCTGAGTGTTCTTGTAATTTCCAAAAGCATTACTCTTTCTAAGCAGCTTTGCAGGCCCTCTCCTTAAATGGTTATTTAGAATTGAAATAATCCCACAGGCTTCAAAATGCAACTAGAAAGGAGGGGGGGGGGAAGCAAAGCTGAACCCACACACGTGGCATGAATCGCTTCCTGAGAAGAGTGTGCCTTTGCCCAGTCCTGCACATTTGTTTATAGCTTTTAAAATGCCAACTCCAGATACTCAAGGTGGCAAAGAAGCAACAGTGAAAGCAGTGTAAAGTGAAAATAATTCCTGTGACCAACATACCACAATACAGTGGTACAGCGGTACCTCAGGTTACAGATGCTTCAGGTTACAGACGCTTCAGGTTACAGACTCCGCTAACCCAGAAATAGTACTTCGGGTTAAGAACTTTGCTTCAGGATGAGAACAGAAATCATGGTCCGGCGGCGCGGCGGCAGTGGGAGGCCCCATTAGCTAAAGTGCTGTTTCAGGTTAAGAACAGTTTCAGGTTAAGAACAGACCTCCAGAACGAATTAAGTTCTTAACCCGAGGTACCACTGTATCTTGGTTTTTGAGCATCTTGGAAGCCGAACGTTTTGGAAGCCGAACACTGAAAACCCAGAAGTAATTGCTTCCGTTTTCGAACGTGCCTCGTTTTCTTTTTTCTCCATTGACTTTGCTGACTTCCCTTTGCACCTCAGTTGTTGAATGTTTCAGAAGTCGAATGGTCCTCCGGAACGAATTGCTTTAGACAACAGAGGTAGCACTGTATACATTCAAATCAATACGTTAACAACTTCCAACCAACAGCTAACCTTACAGAACTTCTCGGGTGTTAAGACTGGCGGAAAGAGACTCTCTTGGTAGTTCCAATACCCTTAGAAGTTCAGGCGGTGGTGGTCTAGGAGAGGGCTTTCTGGCCAGTCCCTAAGTTCCCTTCCCAGAAAGGTGTGTCTGGCACCTACAAAGTATAGATTTTGTTGCATCCTGCAAGGTTGAATTGTATTGTAGAGTTGGAAGGGAACTTAGGGTCATCTAGTTAAACCTCTTGCAATGCAGGAATATGCAGCTGTCCCTATGGGGATCAAACCTGCAACCTTGGCATTGTCAACACCACACTCTAACCAGCTGAGCTCTCCAGGCTGTAACCTCTGTGGGAAGGTTGCCCATCTCAGAGATGGAAAACTCTGATCCTACACCCCTCTGCCTTGCAGGAATCTTTGGGAGAAGACAAGGCTAAGGAGTAAATCCTACACAAATCTGGAGTCCCTAAAATGGTTGGATGATGCCTTGTATCAGTGTCGGATTTACATATAAGCTAAACAAGCTATAGCTTAGGGCCCCACTCTCTTGGGGGCCCCCAAAAAATTTAAAGGAAAAAAACACCTGGATGTACATTTCCAAAATATAAGATAAAAAAACAAATAAAATAAAACCTACATACAGCAACAGTGTTCTAAATGGCTTTCGATACGTATTAGGTCCATAAGTTACCATATAGCATATATTCAACACAAAAAACAGCGACAATTTGTTGTTGACAAAGGACAGCTGGGCATATAAAGGGCCCCATTACCTTCAGTAGCTTACGGCCTCATCAAACCTAAATCCGGCCCTTCCTTGTACAGCTCCTTTTGGCAGTTCCTGCAGCCAAGCTTGTGCCAAACATACTGTTCTGCTTTCCTTTGGACTGCATGATCAAGTCCAAGGGGTTGTGTGTGTGTGTGTGTGTGTGTGGTCATCTGGGCAGCCCAGGACCTTCACACACACTGCCCAGGCTTGCGCCCCAGGGAGGTCACTGCAGTGTTTTGACTCCCCCCCCGAGGTGCACTCCATTGTCACCCTCAGAGGCACACTCCATTGTCTCTTGAGACAGGCGGATGCCGACAATGAAGAGGGATGTATAGAAACTGGGTAAAATGTTCACCTATTGCTACATCCACTTCCGCCTCTTCACCTGCAGCTCACCACCTGGAATGTGGCCCACGGAAGGGAATACGAGCCTGAAAAAGTTCTCCAGCCCTTGGTTTAAACTCTCCCTTCCACCCACCCACCACGCTTCGGTCTTGAACTTGCTTGGCACCCTCCCCCAGCAGAAACCATTTCAATTTTAAAAGAACCATGCATGTTAATTGCTTGCCGTGCATGTTAATTGCCCACACACAATTAATGCCGTGTCTTGCTTGGCCCACCAGCACCTAGATTATCAGCCTGTTCCTGTAGAGCTAAGACACTGAGCCGCTGCTGCCACCCCCCTCAAGCGAGGATCCCACTGGATAGACGCTTCTTTACACTACGTTGGGCTGGAGGGAGTCCCATTCAGCCTGCTCAGCAGGAGGCATGTCTGTCATTTCTCAGATCTTTGCCCAGGAGGCATAGTTTGTGCAGCCTTTTAAATCTGCAGATTGCCCATTATGAAACGTAATGCTTCCTGTCAGATGAGCCTTCGGTAAATTTGACGGGGAAGGTCACCACTTTGCAACCTGGCTGCCCTTGGCTGGTGCAGTCCCCTTGGGGCATATTCCCCAGGAATGGTTATCTCTTTAATAGCTTACGGTCATAGCATGCTTACTCTCTAGGAGAAAATTTAATTAAACCCATCAAATTAGTGTTTCCCTTGAACAAGCTAGCTGAATTTCCAGGAGGGTTGGTAGAGGATCCAGAGGTCAGGGCAAACCCCTCTTTAACATATACAGCTGTTTGCACCATCCGAAAGCACATGCTTTCAATATTATTGTCTCCATTCATTTTGATCTAGCTATTTAAGAACTTTACATATTTATTTTGATTTATTCTTCCACAGTTTCTCCCTAAGCACACTTGCAAAACTCTTACAAGCAACAGTGGCATCCTAGCTTTATTAGATACGGGCTTTCCGGAAGATTTTGCATAGGAAAATTTTCTGAAATCTGGTATTTGAAAACAAGGGCAATTTGCATAGGAAGTTTCCGCCCCCCCCTGCGTGCATCAGAAAAATTTCTGATGCCCTAGAGCAGGCGTCAGCAACCTTTTTCAGCTGTGGGATGGTCCACCGTCCCTCAGACCATGTGGTGGGCTGGACTATATTTTGGAAAAAATAATAATGAATGAATTCCCATGCACTTCGTGCTTTTGAACTGCTAGGTTGGCAGGAGCAGGGACCGAGCAATGGGAGCTCACCCTGTCGTGGGGATTCGAACCGCCAACCTTCTGATAGGCAAGCCCTAGGCTCAGTGGTTTAACTCACAGCGGCACCTGCGTCCCACACCAATTATAGATGACTCTAAATTAACAGGTATGTAGACTGTTGGAAATAAAGTAATAAACATAATTATGACCTCACTCACTCTGAACAGATTCATCTACATGCAAAAGCCATATGACCTACAAGGCCAGATATTTTTAAAATAGTGCTTGCTTTAATGCATTTTGCAAACAGATTTGATTTAACTGCAGCAGCAACCAAATTCGCATGCATCCACGTTCAGGAAAACTATGAATTGCAAAGCGGGGGAACTTAATTTATATCAGTGATTTAAATTGGCCTTTTGTGATTTTAAATCAATACGCCCTGCAGCAAGAAAAATAAAGGATAATTCAGTCTCTGTTGGAGCTCACCAATCCCTGCTTGATAGCTTTTGGCTAGGTAAGCAAATGCTGGCAGAAAGTGGAGTCTCTTTAACTGCCATTACATCATCTGTCGGGTTCGCAACAAGTGAATGGAGACATCACTGCCTAGGTAGATTCTCTGATGTTTAGCCAAACCCTTTATTCTTAGACTGAAGTCAATTTCAGAGTTAGCTCAGTGTGCGAAACAGCAGACAACGTTTGCTACATCTCCCCCCTCTGAACATTTTTTAAAGCCATTTTATACCCCACTTTCCCCCCTGATGGGACTCCAGGAGGCTTACAGATAAAAACAACAGCCAACATGGGTGTCTTCCAGATGTTGTTGGACTACAGCTCCCATCACCCTTCACCATCGGCTATCCTGAGTGGAGCTGATGGGAGTTGTAGTCCACTAACATCTGGAGGGACATCACAGTGGTCGTCTCTTGGATAGGCACCCATGGGCTTAGATGGGTAAATAATCAGTTCCCTGTATCCCTCCGATAAATGCTTATCAATCCATGAAAGGATCAGCGAGACCAGCCTTTCTCAACCTTCAGTCCCCAGATATTTTTGGCTTCCAACTACCATCATCCCTAGCTAGCAAGGCCAGAGCTCAGGGATGATGGGAGTTGTAGTCCAACAACATCTGGGGACCCAAGGTTGAGAAACACTGAGCTAGACATATTGATTAATTGATGCTAAGTCAGAGACCTGAGGAGGTGCCCTGTTGGGAGAGGGGGGTGGGAAATCCTTCATTGGTTCCTTGTTGTGTTTGTGCCACTGACCGTACCTGGTTTCTGGGCCACCAAGTACTCCTTGCCTCCTTTTCCTTTATTCCTGTCATGTCTTCAGGTTCCTCCTTGCTAATGTGCAGTTGCGTTTCTCGAAAGGTATGCGTCTCGTTCAGGCTCAAGGTGACCGGGAGGAGGGTTTTTGCACAGCTCTTATCCTTCAAAGGACTTCCTTCAGGAATAGAAGGTGCCTTGAATTAGTGATGAGGAAGCTGTGAGAGCCTTTGGCGAGATGTGGAGTCAGAAGCGACGGCAGCCCTTGGACCCGTTTCTCTCCCCACCAAAATGCACCTGGGGCTGTAGCTCGGTTGGTAGAGCAACCTGTTTTGCACGCAGAAGGTCTCCGGTTCAGTCCCTGGCATCTCCAGGTGGAGACAGAAGAGACCCCTGCTGTAAGCGACTACCAATCCGTGTAGACAATATTAAGTGAGATGAATCAGTGGAAGATGTTTCCTCCTTCACACTTGGATTTTCCTGGAAACCTTCTCTCGGAGTGAAATGCAGAGGGATGCAGAAGGAGAGGACAATGCCCCAGAACATTTCTTTCTTTCTTTTTTTAAGATTCTCAAAAAGTTCACTGTAGTTGAAAACCAAGTAGGAGGGTGTTGAGTTTTGTTTAGTCAAAGATTTGCCTGTTCTTGGGTGGGTAGCGGGAAGCAAATTCCAGATGGCTGCTGTGCTCTTTCTCCTCCCCACCTTGTTCATTGCTGCAGCACTGAGCCAACAAGCTTTAAGTCTGTGATCATGGCCACTTGGGGACTGGTGGGAGATTGGACTCAAAGGGCTGACCGAGGGCAGCAGCTGCAAACTGCGCCTGATGCCAGCATCACACATTTCTGGGACTCAAAGCTTAGCTCAGCGGTGGAGCATCTGCCCCAGGTTGAATATCCTGACCAAAGACCAGTGACTTCTTAAATTAAAAGACTATCTCGAACTTGCCGCTATGACGGCTAAAATAAGAAATACAGATAGAAAGATAGTGATAAGCGAATGGGAACAACTAGAGTTAAGAATAGAGGGGAAAAGAGGGGGGAATCCAAGGAGTTGTGGCAAACCAAAGAGGGTAAGATAAGATGTCAAGGAAAGATAGGTTGGGAAGTCCATGAATAACCAGATAGGAGAAGATGAATGCATAAAAACAAGTGTAATAAAAAACTGCATTAAAAAATGAATATCCAGCTTCTCTTGGTAGGGCTGGGACCCTGGGAAAGACCCCTGCCTCAAATCCGGGAGAGCTGCTGCCAGCCAATGTAGGCAGTATTGAGCTAGACGGACCGATGGCTTGACTAAGCACAACTGGCTGCGATAGTCACAGGTTTAATCTGCGAAATCTTCATTTTATAAAAGAGAACAGAGAAGACCGTCCTCTGCCCATGAACTTGTAGAGCTGCTGCCAGTCAGTGTATGCAGTACTAAGCTGAATGGAGCGGAGCCCTTTCCTGGTACAGAGCAGCTTCCTGTGTTTGTCTGCTTGCTTCTTCTTCCAAACTGCTTCAATCCAGAGCTTAAGGATCAGCCTGTCACTTTAACTCTTAAGAGAGATTAGCTGTAACCTCTTGGCAGGTCTCTAAAATTTGCTTACACGTGTCCTTCAGGGACTATTCTGCTGAGGATGAGCAAGCATATGCTCCCCCTTCCAGGAGTGATGCAATTACTTTATGGCAAAATACAGAAACGAAGGAGTATGTGTGTGTATCTGTGCAATAGACTTCCGCAATCTCCGCGACTATTTATCTCCTTTTTCCTAGGTGTCTGGCTCAGTCTGTCTTCAATCCGGCACAGATGGAAGGGACCGCTTTCTTATCACATAAGCTGCAGCTAGCTCATTTTCCCCAATAAGAAAAAGAACACAGGTCATTTTCTGTTGGCTCTCTTGAATACGCCAGCTCTCTCTCCCTGTCTACTGCCTGCCACAACACAATCAGGTGGCTTAAGGTCAGGAGTCACTATTCCGTTTCATGGAAACAACTTGTCTTGAGCTGAGAGCTTTTGTACGGTTCTGCCCTGGTGCAAAGTGCAAGCCATGGTGTATTGTTTAGTCCCGGGCTTGATTTGAACTCCTTATCTGTTACCTGTAACTAATGTCATTGCCCAAGTTCACGATGTTCTGCCTTGCACTATTTAAAGCACTTTAAACAGGCATGGCTGCTTCCCCTCCCCCCAAGAATTATGGGAGCTGTGGTTTTTTTTAAAGGGTGCTGAGAACTGTTAGGAGACCCCTATCCCCCTTCCTCCCAAGCTACAATTCCCAGAGTGGTTTAATAGTCAATCTCCCTTCACACAGAACTCTGAGAATTATAGCTCTTGGAAGGAAATAAGGGGTCGCCTAACAACTCTCAGCGGGACGTGGGTGGCGCTATGGGTTAAACCACAGAGCCTAGGACTTGCCGGTCAGAAGGTTGGCGGTTCGAATCCCCGCGACGGGGTGAGCTCCCATTGCTCAGTCCCATCTCCTGCCAACCTAGCAGTTTGAAAGCACATCAAAGTGCAAGTAGATAAATAGGTACCGCTCCGGCAGGAAGGTAAATGGCGTTTCCGTGCACTGCTCTGGTTCTCCAGAAGCTGCTTAGTCATGCTGGCCACATGACCGGAAGCTATACGCTGGCTCCGTCGGCCAATAAAGCGAGATGAGCGCTGCAACCCCAGAGTCGTCCTTGACTGGACCTAATGGTCAGGGGTCCCTTTACCTTTAACAACTCTTAGCAGCTTTAATAAACTGTAGCTCCCAGGATACTTTGGTGGAAGATACAACTGTTTAAAGTGGTTTCATAGTACTTTAACTGCACAGTGAGAATGTGGCCTAGGAGTTCTCCTGCTTGGAACACAGTGGGCTGATGTTAGCACTCATGGGAAACTCCTGGAGTAAAATGTCTTGTAGCCACTGACTCCTTTTTGGTCCTCCTACCTGCTTGCTCCTGTGGAAGTGGGCTTCTCTGCAGGCAGCAGCTGGAAGATTTATGCAGTGTCAAATTTTCCATAATGCCCCGGAATTCCTGATGTACCAGCTCACTTCCCAGTGCCAGCCACTGCCTTGAGGCAAGTCCAGAGGGAGGATCACCTGGGGTTGAGGGCTGCTGCTGCTAAACTTTGAGCCCAGCCCTTCTTGGATTTATCACATTTGAAGTGCAGTTCCGCCAAGAATTTTTTCCCCCTGGCTTAGAATGCAAAACAAGGTTCTGCACTTGAAGATAAAACTGGGGTGTGGTGAGGAGAGACATGTAAACCTGGAGTGGCTGAACTCCGGGTCAATGTTCTCTGTGGGTTTCTTGGCAGACCTTTGTTTGCCAACATCCAGATCTGAAACCCAACTTTATGAGCCAGCAGAGAACTCTTGGGAAACTGACAAACCTTTCCCAAGAAAGCCCTGGGAGCACTCATAAATAATGAGCACTTTCTGAGCTGAGCCCAGAGGAAATTGCCCATTGCAACTTATTATATGGTTTTTGACAAGCTCAGGGAAAGTTATGCTGATTTTTTTTGTTCATGTCATAGCAGTCACCTAATAGGGCTGTCTGGCAATGAGGGTGCACCAGCTCATCTGCTTTCTTCTTCCATTGTCCACCTGTCATGTTTGGTGACAATCTTAACTTTCCACATTGTACCATATTCCTGGAACGGAGGCCGCTCGTTCCTTCATCTCTGCTTGCCAACTTTGCTGCGGCCAGGGATGCGGTTCTTTGCTCTAGAATTCTTTGCTGCGTGTAGGGTTGTTAAGAATCCCACCTGCCCTGCCAAGTAGGGTTTTGGAAATTTGCAAAACTTTCAAGGGCACCACAGGACACCCATTTCACAGAAGAGAAACTGGCAATGCCAGAGATGCCAATAAGCAACAGTAAAGAAAACACAGCCTCCCCCCACAAAACAAAACACAGGCATAAAAACAGGCACCCTCCTCCATTTTAAAAATAACATAAAATTAGGAGTTGCAAGTATCCTTGGTTTGGTGCCAAGGTGAGTGTCTGTGGGCACAAGGTTGGTGACTCCGTTGGTGAAGGATTGACAGTTTTTGGGGGGAGCTCTGTACTACATAGGGACTTGGGTGGCGCTGTGGTCTAAACCACTGAGCCTAGGGCTTGCCGATCAGAAGGTCAGCAGTTCGAATCCCCACGACGGGGTGAGCTCTCGTTGCTCGGTCCCTGCTCCTGCCCACCTAGCAGTTCGAAAGCGCATCTAAGTGCAAGTAGATAAATAGGTACTGTTCCGGCGGGAAGGTAAACGATGTTTCCGTGCACTGCTCTGGTTTCACCAGAAGCGGCTTAGTCATGCTGGCCACATGACCCGGAAAAACCGTCTGCGGACAAACGTCGGCTCCCTCGGCCAGTAAAGTGAGATGAGCACCGCATCCCCAGAGTCCCACCACCCTTCTGAGTAATACCCTTCCCCACCCTCCCACTATATATAAGGGTCTGGTGACTTCTGTTTCAGTGTATCTGAAGAAGTGTGCATGCACACAAAAGCTCATACCAATGACAAACTTGGTTGGTCTCCAAGGTGCTACTGGAAGGAATTTTTTTATTTTGTTTCAACCCCGGAGTTGTTCGCAACTGGACTTAACTGTCAGGGGTCCTTTACCTTTACCTGTACTACGTGGAGCAGTGTGCTTGTGTGTGTGTGTGTGTGTGTGTGTGTGTCTGTCTGTCAGTACCGTCTTTTGAAATTTTTAGTCATTTTGATAATTAACAATGGTGTTAAAAGCTGCTGCCACCACCCGCAAATTTGCTACAACTAGTGAATCATTCCCCACCCCAGATTTGCAACAGGGGGTGAGCGGGGGGCCCTTTCGACCCAGCTTTAAGGCAAAAGTTCTCATACAAGAACCACTGATTCAGGAAGAATGCTTCTTCCCATTGGTCCAATTACGAGGGGGCGGGAGGCTCAGCCCCTTCCTTTAGTTTTTGCAGATGCTTTGGCACAAAGGGAGGGCGAAGCGATGTGGCAAAAGAGGAGATTGGCTAGCCAGAGAGGCAGATTCCTTGGCACGATGCCTTGGCATTTGGGGAGAAAGGAAGCAGACAATAGGTTTCCAGTTACTTCTCTATTACAGTCATTACAGTTCATCTTGGAGGCAAGCCAGGTGGGGGATTGGTTGAATTGTTGCCATATGTGGTTTTGTGTAGGTATATATCTTTGAGTGTGGTGCAGAGCATGGGCTCATATGTCAGCAGCTGGGGTGGAAATCGGGGCCAGGGTCTGGATGCGGCCCTGCAGGCCTCCCTGACTGGCCTTCCCGAGGCCACACCTTCACCAGCCTGCTCTGTGCTGCTCTCAACTAGTTTTGCATGGCTGGGAGACATCCCTGAACTGTGTGTGACAATACCTTTTGCTTGCCTGGATGGAAGATGGATCTCTCTCTCTCCCCCCCCTCCCTCTCCCTGCCTCCCCCTCCCTCTGGTGGAATTTTGAAGCCTTTGCCTTTTTAAAGTCTAGAACATAGTCTAGGCAAACTAAGGCCTGGGGGCTGGATCCGGCCCAATTGCCTTCTAAATCCGGCCCATGGATTCAGCGTGTTTTCACATGAGTAGAATGTGTCCTTTTATTTAAAATGCATCTCTGGGTTATTTGTGGGGCTTAGGAATTCGTTCATTATTTTTTTCAAAATATAGTCCGCCCCCCCCAAGGTTTGAGGGACAGTAGACCGGCCTCCTGTTGAAAAAGTTTGCTCTGGTCTAGAATATACAAAGGTAAGAGTCACATCTGCCTCACCCATCACTGGCACGTGCCCCCCAGAAAGTTCCTCATGAGGAAATGCATCCCATGGCTGGTTTACAAGGAGGCGATTATCCCTTACAACGAAACAGAGCCAGAGACTTAAAATTCACCAAAGTTGACATGCTGACACCAGTGGACCTAATTTAATTAACTTCATTCCAGTGGGCCTGTTCCAGCTGGATCTATCCCGGAAAGAGCAATAGAATTATATGGGTACCAATTTTCCTGTTATGTACTGAGAGTGAATGGAAGGGCAGTGAAAGAGATGGGCTGTGGACCTTTTTTTCATTGGGTGCTTCGTTCCCCCTCGTCCCCAAGTGGGTCATTCAAGAGCAAGGAAGTGGCATTTACTGGATGCAAAAAAAGAGAAGGTTTCAGACCTGGAGAGTAATGGTCAAAGGAAGTTTCTTTCCAACCTGGGGTAGGCAGAAAGTAGATAGGGGATCGTCTGGTACACCACAGGACCAGATTTGCACTGGATCAGGAGGAGTGTTTTGTTCCCCAGTTGCTTTTAATGACAAAAATGCTTCCCTGCTCCCTGATCTTTAGTAAGTCAAATGTAAATTTGTGCTTAAGGTGGTCATCCTAGTATGTGGTTTATGGGGTGCAGTAAGGCACTGGGCTGCCATTTTGCATATGGCTCTGCCTCCCCTGGGTCCCACTATTTGGCACCTAGCTGTCAGTTCTACTTGTCCACCTAGATCAGGATTTGTCTACATTGACTGGCACCAGTTCTCCAGGGTTGTCTCCCAGCCCTCACTGGAGATCAAACAGGGAACCTTATATATCAGGGGTCAGCAAACTTTTCTCAGTAGGGGGCCGGTCCACTGTCCCTCAGACCTTGTGGGGGGCCGGACTATATTTTGTAAAAAATATATGAATGAATTCCTATGCCCCATAAATAACCCAGAGATGCATTTTAAATAAACGGACACATTCTACTCATGTAAAAACACGCTGATTCCTGGACCATCCGTGGGGCGGATTGAGAAGGCGATTGGGTCAGATCCAGCCCCCAGGCCTTAATTTGCCTACCCATGTTATATATGCACAGCAGACGTTCTACCTATGAGCTATGGCCCTCCCTGCTAGTTAGTAACCTCAGGGTTTCTAATCCAAAACGAAGCCTATCCATCAAGCCTGACACTTGTCCACCCCTGCTCTACATCATTGTGGTTGGGGATGGTGCGTTTCAGAGCTTCTCCAGGAAAGTGCCTGAAGCATCCTTAGCAGTGGAATAAGGGTGGCTTTTTTTGTCTATTGGGAATCAAGGATGATTAAGATGTCATCTCTTTGTCAATGGAAGTAGACCTGCAAATTTGCTTCAGGACAGAATAGGCAGCAGCTCTCCCTGAACTGGTCCATTGTCAAGGGGAGCAAGTGTGTGCGTCTTTTGCCTCCAGCATCTCTGCACGATCACATGTGGTAACATTTAGCCAAATTTGGGACAAGGCATTTGATGAAATCCACAAAATGACTGGACAAAGAGTAGTTAAATGCCCAGAATTGGCTTTGTTAATTTGTGTGTGTGTGTGTGTGTGTGTGTGTGTGTGTGTAAAATGCAGATGTGCATTATAAGCTGCCAACTGGGTATCTATTATTTGCAACAAGACTTATTGTAACTGGGTATTGGAAAGTTATGGAAGGAGCCTCTCCGATGAATTGGTTTAATAAGGTCTGGAAATTGGCAGTTGTTGAGAAACTCGCCCATAAACTTAGAATGGCACAAAGTGTAAAATGAAATGACTCATTTACGGTAGAATGGTACAGTTTTATTATGCATACGGTGAAGAATGGATTTCACATAAGCATTTTTTATTGGTTTGACTATTTTTTTGCATTACCTTTTCTAGAATCTGGATATAGGTTGTGAGCTAGAAGGGACTTCAGATTTGGGTGCAGACTTCACCTGCCAGGGAGGGTGGGTGGAGTAATTTTTTCATTTCTGGATTTATTTAATTTTTTGTAATATATTAATCTAATCAGTTTCATTAAAATAATAACGAAGAACCCCTCCCCCAATGTGGTAACCTCTAAATAGGACATTGACATACAAAACCCCAAATGCATAGCATATTTGACTAGAGTTTACATTGAGAAACCAGCTGCGTGCATTTGCCCTATTGGATTTTGGATGCATTATTAGTCTGTGTTTGAATGTTATGTTCCTGTGGGGACATTGAAGACAGAGCTGGTACACTTGGTGGATAGGGAGTGAAGACACTCCCAGGCCGGGCACCGATTGCCTGTTTGGAACACAGCTGACTCATTCTTTTCCTTAATTCAGATTGAAGCTGGCCTTGGCGGAAATGCATCAAAATCATTTCATAAGAAACAACAAGATAGATAATGTGGATTGTGGCTTATGTCATGTGTACGCCTCTTGCCAAACCAGTGTTTGGGAGCACACGGGATGCAGAGCAAATGAGAGTTTTGTGCGTAGCCTCTCGTTCCGCTTCTGTGCAATGGATTGGGGAGATGTATTGCCCGATGTTGCCTTTTGTGTGTCCATCTCAGATATTTCACTTTCCTAGCACAATCTTCCGAGCCAGATAATCAGGTGCAAAAGAAGGTTTGTCGGCGATTGAATCTCAGTTGGCTGAGCTCAGAAACAGATAAGCGGGACATGTGTTGCGTCCTTATGAGATTCCTGTGATGTCTTCATCTTGGCAGCTGTCTGTGTAAATAAAAGAATGGTCCTAACACCGATTTCACAAACAACCACCCATTTTTGTATGTGTTCCAAGGACATGGCTTGTTGTTTTTTTCAACTCAGGGAAATGCTGAACAGCACGCGTAACATGGGAAGCAGGCATTTTGAATGGTGGTTTATGGGAACATCTGCCAGGTTTCAGTTAAGTGGTGTTTCCCTGTTCCCATGAAGAAATTGTGATTATGAAGATGGTTATACTTCTCAGTGATCTCTGTCTGTCTCTGTCTGTCTGTCTGTCTCTCTCTCTCTCTCTCTCACACACACACTTACCATATAGTGGTCTTCTCCAAACTGATATACTCCAGATGTTTTTTGACTGCAACTCCCATCAGCCCCTGCCACCGTAGCCAATCATCAGTGTTGATGGGAGTTGTAGTTCAGCACATCTGGAAAAAAATCAGACTAATTTGTTCAACTACAGTATTGTCCACTCTGTCTGGCAGTACTTTCCAGCGTCTCGGGCCCAAGGTATTTCCTGTTGCCTGCTACCTGATCCTTTTAAGTTGGAAATGTCAGAAATCGAACCTGGAACCTTCTGCATGCAAACCATGTGGGAAACTGTTGGAAGCCATTCAGCTTGCTTAGAAAGGTTTGTGTGGGAATTAAAACAGAATAGGGACCTCCAGATTCCTAACTGTGTCTGTCACTTTTTATCTCTGTGCTGACCTGTCATTCAGAGTTTCGAAAGCTATTTCTTAGGCTGCATCCTCTCTTACTTCTCCCTCTCTCTCTCATCCTTCTCTTTTGGACCATGAGTTCTGAGATCATCTTGGAACCTTCTCTCTCTGAGAACAAAGGGGCAGGTTAGTCAGCTAGGACTATAGAAGCCTTTCCTGTCCAAGAATGCATTTTCAGTAAGCAAAGGCTTTCTTATTTCATACTAAGTATCTGTTTGCTGGGATAGCTTAGTGGGTAGAGCACAAGACTCTTGATCTTAGGGTTATAGGTTTGAGTCCTACGTTGGGCAAAACATTCCTGCCTTGCAGGTGGGTTGGACTCTGTTTACTAACAGAAACATGACGCTGGAAGTGATAGTCATTTGGAGTGATTTAGCAAGGCTCTCTCTGTGTTCTTGCAACTCCACGACTTGTTTGGCCCTTCCAGAGTTAGGCTGAGTGTTGGGAAATGCAGGACAGTCAGTTAAAAGGACTTTTTTCCTCACAGTGCCTAGTTCTACTGTGGAACTCTGTTCCACAGTACGTGGCTGTAGCCACCAACTTGGGCAGCTTTAAAAGGGGATTGGCTGGAAATCAGTCTCCTGTTGTCAGAGATGGGCCATCTTTAGAGCTGAGCCAGTGTCTTGCAGTGACTGTTTCTCAGACATGTCGATTCAGTGTTTTGTAAACTGTCCTGGCAAGTCAGGTTGGTCTGCAAGTACCGTTCTTTCCCAGGCTTTCCATTTTAACAGGCGATAATAGGATGGCTTAGAGCTTGATCTTGCGGATCGATAAGAGAAAATGAGTTTTCATTCTTTCTTTCTTTTGCCTCCAGCTTCCTCCTTCAAGTCATATTGGAACCCAAGGGCAGCATTGCCGTTAAAACCTTGCCTGTTGTGATTCCCATTATGTAAAGTAGGAGGAAGGTCCGTTCCCAGAGCTGTCCGTTGTTTCTCTTCGATGGCAGCCCTGTGTTATTTTTTTAAAAAACAGGAACCCACTAATTTAATGGCAGAATCATCAAGAGGATATGGTGAAGCCAGTTGAGATATGCCAGCTCCCTTTTAAAACCGCAATCCATCCATTCGTATCGACATCAGCATCCCATCTCAACATCTGTTCACAGCGTGGATTAAGAGTTATTTAGTTTTTCGGCCTTTCTATTCTTTTAAGTGTGCCCTGTTGCAAGCTCCAGGCAAAAGTGGGCTTTAGGAGTGTAATCTAGCTTTAAACATTTCATCCTGCATTGACGTAGGAAAACGGGAATTAAAGGGGAAATCTTGGCTAGATTCCTTTCAAAAAGCAAGAAAAAAGCAGCACTCCTGTTGGTGTTCGGCCTGAAAAAAGTCTAGGGTTCCGGTAATGTAGTGGCAAATTCCAAAGGGCAAGGTCCCTTCAGGATAGTCGCAGCCACGACTCCTCGCAACCACACCCATCACAGCTATTCCGCTTCTGAGATTATACAGTAACCATACAATTAATATCAATAACCAAGGATACATTGCCATGATCAGTGCAGAACTTCATGTGTTGTGCCTTTCAGTTAGATCTACTATTTTCTCTGCAGGTACATGGGCAAATGATTCTGAGTGCTCCCATATATTCTCTCAGAATGAGTTAAGTTGTGCTTTCCTCAAAATTCCATTGTACGAAACAGAAATGGTGCAGTCTTTTCTTGAAACTGAAGAACCTTGTGTTCTCAGTGTTTCCTCAGTACTTGGCTTTGGCGCATACAGTACAACTCCACCAACTTTCCACTTGCCTTCTCCAGAGTGACCCTAGGAGCTGACCCTCCATGGTGGATTCTTCTCCTTTCACTCAGATTGAATCCAATCAAGAGGCAAGAAGACCCCTTCTTAGGAGCTAAGAAGCTCCTCATTCATGCTGATTGGGTGGCTCTAAGACAGGGGTCAGCAAACTTTTTCAGCAAGGGGCTGGTCCACTGTCCCTCAGACCTTGTGGAGGGCCAGACTATATTTTGAAAAAAGATAAAGAACGAATTTCTTTGCTCCACAAATAACCCAGAGATGCATTTTAAATAAAAGGACACATTCTACTCATGTAAAAACATGATGATTCCCAGACTGTCCACCGGCCGAATTTAGAAGGCAATTGGGCTGGATCTGGCCCCTGGGCCTTAGTTTGTCTACCCATGCGCTAAGATGTTGGAGACAGGGACCCTGCTGCAGAAATAGTCATGGGTCTTCAGCTCCCCACAGCCCTGGACCACCCTGGAGGGTTCTGACGCAAACTCCTCTTCTTCTGCACTGCAACGTTTTGTTGCAGATCTCACTTCTGTACTCTATTTCTCTGTTTCTGGCATCTTCCTGTTCTCCTTCCAAACAAAAATAGCTGCTATTGTTTTGACAAACTTTCCCCCCAAATTACATTTAACATTCCCACCCCTAACTGCAAGCCAGCCAGCCCTTTCTATAATGAATTTGTCCTGGCTTTCTGTCTCTGCTTCCCATCAATCCCATTACAAACATTTTATTAAAGCTACTACAAACTTTGGGAAGAGGCAAGAGAATGAACTCTTTTTTCCCCTTTTAAAGTGTGTTATTTAATAGCACACCTATTTTTCCTGGAGGGCTCTATGTGGAGGTTGCTGTCATGGGTCCCCAGTGCTGCCGCTGGTCCTGTGGTTGCTTTGCATGACCTTCTGCCCCTTTCCCTGCTGCATGACTTTGTGCACTTCTGACACCTTTCCCGCACAACCTCAGCAATTAAGAACCCCATTCTCCTCCAAAGGTGCGGCTGGGAGCAGGTGCAGAGGGGCAGTGAGAGGCAGCTGTGTGGTTTTGATTGTGCCAATAAGTACTTGACAGTGTTCGGCTAATTGAAGGAATGTTAGCAAGCCTTGCAACCTCCCCACGGTGCTGCCAGGGGTGTCTGGCCCTGTGGCTATAATGAGCCCGCCACAGGAAACCTGCCCCAATTCCAACCAATAACGATTAATCTGAAGAAACCAAGGGGAGAGAGAAGAGTGGCGGTGAGGGAGGTGACTAGGAATCATTCGGCTAGGGCAGGGTTTTGGAAGATCTTGCTTATAAGCAAAGCAAGAAATAAGCAAAGCAAGTACGTTTCCAAGTGCAATTCAAAGTGTTGGTGCTGATGTTTAAAGCCCTAAATGGCCTCGGCCCTGTGTACCTGAAGGAGCGTCTCCACCCACATTGTTCTGCCCGGACACTGAGGTCCAGTGCCGAGGGCCTTCTGGCGGTTCCCTCCCTGCAAGAAGCCAAGTTGCAGGGAACCTGGCAGAGGGCCTTCTCAGTAGTGGCACCCACCCTGTGGAATGCCCTCCCATCAGATGTCAAGGAAATGAACAACTATCTGACTTTTAGAAGACATCTGAAGGCAACCCTGTTTAGGGAAGTTTTTAATGTTTAATAGACTGTTGTATTTTAATATTCTGTTGGAAGCTGCCCAGAGTGGCTGGTGAAACCCAGCCAGATGGGCGGGGTATAAATAATAAATTATTATTATTATTATTAGTAGTATTATTATCATCATCATCATCATCAAAGCCTTGAATATCATGTGCTGGCTGGGCGTGTGCTTGTGAGACACTGTGAGGGAGAGGGCACAAAACCCTTGCCAACCGATTGCCATTCGAAAGTGGATAGGCCTGTCCTAAGGTTCTTTTAGATACAGAACTGTTTTGTGTTTTAAGAGTTCTGCACACATAGAGGACTGGATGCAGGGGTCACACCCACTGAATCCAATGGGTCTCAGTGGCAGGACATGGGGAAGCTACGTAATGCCGACACTGACTTGCAGCAGCTCTCTTTCAGAGGGAACTGTTTCCCAGACATAGTTGGAGGCGCCAGGGGTTTAACCTGGGACTTTCAGTGTGTAAAGCAAAGGCTTTACTGCTGAGCATCAGCCTTCCCCAGGACATAGAATATGTCCTGATGTCAGAGCCCCCAGGGAAGTTCACGCAGACCTGGTCCTAAATGCTCCAGGGCTTTGAAGATTAAATCCAGTACTTTAACCTGAGCCTAGAAGGAGCTCAGCACTGTGTCCAGTTCTGGATATTGCACATATAAACACCATTAACTGGGAAACACTGGCCTGCGAGCGCTCCAATTGGAGAACAGCCTTTACCAAAGGTTTCAAGGGCTTTGAAGACATTCGAACCCAGGACGAAAGGGAGAAATGTGCTAAGAGGAAGGCATGCTTGGCAAACCCACACCATGACCCACTTCTGTTTGGAAACCTAGGTCCCCACTGTGGAAGGACATGTGGATCCAGAATTGGCCTCCACAGTCACTTATGGACCCACTGAAATGGACAACTGAGAGAGGACTGTGAGGTTGTGTGTGTTGAAAGTACTCTAATGTACAAAGGCAAAAATAATAAATAAATGCATTTATTTGCTGCCCCACACACTTTTGAATGTGTCCTCTGGAGACTTGCTCAGGAGAGTGAGGTTCTACATTCCTAACCCTTGATAAAGGTAAAGGTAAAGGTACCCCTGCCCGTACGGGCCAGTCTTGCCAGACTCTAGAGTTGTGCGCTCATCTCACTCTATAGGCCGGGAGCCAGCGCTGTCCGCAGACACTTCCGGGTCACGTGGCCAGCGTGACAAGCTGCATCTGGCGAGCCAGCGCAGCACACGGAACGCCGTTTACCTTCCCGCTGGTAAGCGGTCCCTATTTATCTACTTGCACCCGGAGGTGCTTTCGAACTGCTAGGTTGGCAGGCGCTGGGGCCGAACGACGGAAGCGCACCCCGCCATGGGGATTTGAACTGCTGACCATGCGATCGGCAAGTCCTAGGCGCTGAGGTTTTACCCACAGCGCCACCCGCGTCCCAACCCTTGGTGCTTGGTGCTAAATTCCAGCTTCTGGGGAGCAATAAGGCGAGAGGGTTGATTGCCTCCATGTCCTGCTTCTGTTCATCTCAGAGGTGGTCTTGTTGGCCAAGGTGGGTAGATAAGATAGGTCTTTGGTTTTAATGCAGCTGGGGCAGTTCTTACGTTTTCAAACTTCAAGTGGCAAATTCACCAACTAATGGGAAAAGACTCTTAGGTTAAAGTTCCAAACGTGAAGAGAATTAAAAGTGAAATGGCGGCTGCCTCTTTAGGAATCTTTTATTTATGTCTGTATTTATTTAGAGCATTTGCACCCTGTTCTTCAGCCAAAAAGACTCCCAGAGCAGTTTCATACAATCAATTAAGCAAGAAAGTGCCTTCCCACAGGCTCACAATCTGAAAAATCTACTGTCAGTATATGTTCTGAGCCTTATTCCCCACCCCACCTTCCCTGAAATAGCCTTGGAAAATTCAGAATATGTGTATAATCAGAAG